TAAAGCTTTTTAAACTTTCCCTCCTCTTTTTCCTACATCAGTAGGACCTTAATCTTTCTGAAGAAAGTTGGGCCATAATATCTCTCATTTTAAAAATAAAATATATATATTTTTATATATATATATATATATATATATTTTGAAATAAATAAATATATAAAATAAATATAATATACACTTTATAAATAGATTTGTCCTTATGAACAGTATTGTGTTTACATCTTAAGAATGCTCGTTCTTTGACCTCACCTCCTCCTTTCTGCTGTCATACTCCAATGGAAGGAAACACATACAGGTTAGGTGTGTACTTGCACATATACAGACACACTCACACACCTTCCTTAGGAACCAAACACCAATCAGATTTGGATTCTCCATTTTACCACCATGCAAGTCCATGATCTATCAGATTTTGGGTCTGGTAAGTCGCAAAGGGCCACCTTAGTAAGCTAGCTTTCCAAGCTTTTGAGCAAATCGTTTCTGAATTCTTCTGTGCCGGGCTGCATGACTTACGATCCATGCTGGTGGTGGTTGTCAAACACAATCTCTTCTGCCCAGTGTGAATTATTGCCTCTTCCTAGCCCACCAAATTAAGCACGTAATTAGAAAAATGCATGATCCTAGGTAGGGTTCCAGGCTCTGTCCCATCCCTTCCCGTTCCCTGGAGAGTACATTCATCCTTGTTATACACTTCTTTAAAAGCCGAGGGATTCATGGCTAGTGCTTCTCTATGGGTTAACTAGGCTTGTAAGAAGGATGGAATGAATAGGGCTTATAGTGCTCCAGCAAAAACTTTGGAAACCCAACTGTGTGCGCATATATATGTTACACAGACATGTGCATGCACACCCACACTGGTTCTCAAGCTGCAGGTGTATCACCTGTAGTGGAGAAGGTCTCTGAATGCTGCAGGTATCTTAGCAGGATCTACTGGCCTAGGTAAAAAATGAGTAAATTTTTGGTGTCTCTTAGTCCTGAATCCTTCTCGAGGAGACCCATCTTTGTTCAAAGCGATGTAATACTGTCGCTCAGAGTCATTGTGCTTGTAGAGGGTCGAGGCGTAGGTATTGTACCAGTTTTCTTCAAATTGCTCACGGAAAACACACTCTCGTGTGAGCTTCTTCTGTGTGAGGAGGAGGTGGGAAGAGAAAAAAGAGACATGAAACACTACCTTGACAGTGAAGGAGAAACCCCATTGATTCAACCCAAAGATGACCAATAACAATGACCGAGTGATTTCTATCTTGCCTTCCTTCCAAGAAGATCAAAATGGAGGACCACAGAGTTTTCCTTCTCTCTTGTTCCCCAGACCTTCTTGTATTAGGGCTGACTATTGTTTATACAGTTCTGGGCAAAAGTTTAGCCCCCCTCCCCAAGTCAAACTGTACTTTCAATTACTGACAGAAGCTGACAAAAACTCTACATGGGACAAAGTGAAACACATCTCCTGTGTTTTCTAAATCATGCCTTCTGGCTTCGCATGTTGTGTAAACCCAGTCCAACATGGCTTACACAGCAAGTCGTGCTTAGAAGTGCCCTTGACTTATCATGATCTATTGAAACTTCTACAGATGAACCCACTTCTGTGGGCAGACTCAGAAGCTGGCATCTTCCTTGGTCAGGTGCCCAGATCAATGGCTACGATATTCCTTTGGCTCTGTTGGAGATGATGAAGTTGCCTATTTGCTCTCCTCTTTTTGGGCTGTTCTCCCATTACAGAAATTTAAAAAGCAAACTGTTTATTTTCTAGGTTGAAGCAGAGTGAACCAGAGATGTTATCAGGAGCAAAGAAACAAGAATTGTTCTGAGGAGCAAGTTATGTTGTGTGAATGTTTAACGTAAAAAATGGTCGTTTCTAAATGGCTACTAAGTCCCCAAAGGGTAACTGCTTAATTGCTTGTGAAAGTATAGAAACTGAACCCCTGTATTTGCACAATTCAATTCTAATTAATTATTTAGTATTAGCTTTATCTTAAAGACTTAGTGTTTGATGCTATATTTTATTTACATTATATCAGTGTGGGTGTTTTTATTCTATTCTAACTTGTTTTATGTTGGTCACTGACCAAAGTATCACGGCCTGACCTGAACATATCCTGGCTGTTGCCCTCGGCTGATTGGTCTTTCCCTTTTGCTCTTTGGTACCTCAAAAACCAGGAGGCTGAAATGCAACATCATTTGCCTTCAGAATCTCATGATACCAACACGGAAGCCCAGCAGGTGGTCGTTGCGATCTTTGAATGCAAAGTTGGTGCTAGAAGTTTCTTAAGGTCAGGTTAAACATAAACCTCACTTCCTGATTCTGCCCTTGAATTCTCCACCATTTGCCAGTTCAGGGTCCCACTAAAGCATGGGAACTCAGGGCAGAGGAAGGGGTTGGCAACTCAAAGCCAACAGGCAGACCCCAGTACCCCACCTGGGCCTTCCAGAGCAGGCATGGTCTCTGCTGAATGGGCAGGGGTCAAATTCCACCCCTCCAAGGTATTGCTATCCCTGGGCCCAAAGTAGATGGAAGCTCCAGAGGGAACCTTGGAATTAGCTGTTCAGTAACGCCCCTCTTGGCCAGATCAGGGGCGATATTCCTGGGACCACACAGCACCAACAAAAATGGGAGCGTGGACAGCCCCTCCGTCAGGGAAATATATCTCATGTTACTTAACTTCCATGGAAGAGACCTGGATAGACCAGCAGAAAACCTCATCTGGAGAAGCCACTTCAATGGGGCCACTTGTGACAACCAGGAGGAACAGCAGCTTAGGTGGCAAGTCTGTGGTGAGGAGAGGGCTGAGGATCAGCCTCCCCAGACACCGACTCCAGCTTGGCACCCTGTTAACCTCTCCTGCAAAAAAGGTAATCTAGGAGGAGCATGAGGGAGGTGTGGGAGATGCCTGCTCGAGGTCTTGGCAAGCTGCTCCTATTCAAAGGGCTAAAAACGGACAAGTCACCAGACTTTGGGTTGTTAACAGACATGGGCAACCTCCCTTGCTCTTGAAGCCACATGACCCTTTCTGCTCCCTGGGGGTGTGTGGGGGGATGGTGGCCACTAATGCTGTGATGTCACTGGAATGGGTGGGCTCACTTTCAGGCTGCTTTTTCAGAGTGGGGAATTTTTGTAGTGGGTGGGATTACAGGGCAATGCTGGTTCCTCTAACCCCTCCAAAGCAAAACAAAAAAAGGAACTGATTTATGGTGGTGACTGGGTTTTTAAGAGGAGGAATAATGCTACTTAAAGAGAGTTTCTCTTATTAGAACTTTTGGACTTTTGGTTAATATTAGTTTCACGACTAGCCTTATACTATTTGTGAATATACTGGTGTTGTAACTTCAGACAGACATTTAACACAATTTGCAGTATCGTCTGTATTATGTGAACACATGTATCTCTGTGCCTGATGACTATTCCGTGTTTTACTATGTTAAGACTTGTAAATACAGCAATAATTCTCAATAAATTGCCTGTGTGTTTCCAGGTACAATTCAAGTTGCTGGTTGTCACCTTTAAAGCCCTTCATGGCTTGGGACAGGGTTACTGAGGAATCATCTTCTCCCAGTTGTTTCTACCTGTCTAGTTCGGTCTGGCAGGATGGGCATGCTCAGGGTCCTGTCAACTAAGGAATGTCGGCTGGTGGGGACTAAGAGGTGTGCCTTCTCTGCTGTGGCGCCTGCCCTCTGGAACGTTCTCCTCCAGAGATTAGGATGTCCCCAACCCCGCTGGCCTTTCATAAGGCCTTGAAGACCTGGTTGTGTGCCTGGGCCTGGGGCCCTGAGTGTGTTAAGGGCATACACACACACACGTTTGTATTTGGTTTTAATTGATTTTATGATTGTTTGCAGCCCAGAGTCACTTGTTTGAGATGGGTGGCCATAGAAATTGAATGAATGAATGAATGAATGAATGAATGAATGAATGAATGAATGAATG